ACAATCCATTCAAAATGAAAATTAGTTAGAATGACTTAAAATTACTGAACTTTCGATCACTAAATTTACTATCAATAAAGCTTTAAAATTTACTATATTTGGCCTAGAGGGAAGAGACAATAACATTTTCAGTTCCACAATGAATTGTCATAGACTCTCATATACATGAAATCAATAAGATAAATGTTTCATCTTGGGCATTTTTGTTTGCAATAAGTAAATTATAAAGGTGAAAATATGTATAAGATCTTTAAAATTGTTTATAAAAATAATATATTAAGTATGTATATTAATAAAATATATGTATATAATTAATCGGTTCGGTTCGGTTATTTCTTCATTTTTTTAAAAATAAAATCATAACCAAACCAAATACTATCGGTTTTCAAAAATCTAAAACCAAACCAAACCCAAATAAAATCGATTTGGATCAGTTTTTATCCAAACCGTGAACACCCCTAATGGCAGGTAACAAAAAAAGTACGTTTTAGCCACACGTAAAACCGTGGCTAAATGGTACTCAAACCGTGGCTAAAACAAACTTAGCCACGGTTGGGTAGTTTTGTTTTTTTTAAAAAAAATCTGCAATTGTTTCCCTACTACATATCCCAATTCTAATATATTAATTGATAGGCATTCACTAATAAATTGAAAATTATACAAAAAGTATTGCTATTATAATAATGATCAAAGTTCCAACTTTGTTCTACAAAGTCACAAAACATAAAGCTTCAAACCTTGAATATTCATAAAAAATACACAAATACTAGAGTAATGGAAATGCTAAAAGTTAAAGAAACACCATATATGTAGTTTGTTTCAAAATATACTAAAAGGCTAAGAAGATTAGTTGAAAGTAGACAACTCACTACCAAATTTAGCTTGTAAAAATCTATGACAAGTGATTTTCATTTTGCACGAGTCGATTCTTGGTCTCCTCAAGTTGTTCTTTGGTCTCTTCATATCCGGTCAGCTTTTCTTCCAAGGTTTCTACATGTTTCTTTAGGTCTTCAACATGTTGATGAGGCATATTACTAGAGCTACCAAGATTTGCATGACTAATTGTATGTCTAGGCATTCCAAAAACATTCGAAAGGCAAGCACTACCACCTAAACCACGCACACGACCATAATGTTCAGCTCCTACAAGTAAAATAGAGAAATGAGATATTCTCGTGTCTGTAGTAGAGTTGAGTATTAATTAAAACAATTGTCCTTGTAAATATTGTTAGTTTTCAGAGAAGGAAAAACATAACAATCTGATTTTATTTTGTTATTGAACAAGTAGGAACATTAGTTTGATAAACCAACAAAGAAAAAATATATGAAAGCAAAACTACTAACTTCATTATAAAGCAGATATTTATAGAGTTTACAAGTAAACCAACTCCTAAGGATAAGATTAAAAAACTAAATAAGGATAAGATAGAAACTAATTAACTGCTAAACAGTAAATAACTACCCTAACTATCCTACAATACAGAGAACTTGGACTGTTGCAGTTCTTATGCATATTTCTAACACTCCTCCTTGCTTTAAGAGCTGCAAACTCCAAGTTTTTGCCTGAGAAGTTGAAATTTATTGCCTGATAATGGTTTGGTGAAGATATCAGCCAACTGCTCTTCAGTTTTGCAATAGAGCAGAATCACGTCACCATTATTTTGCACTTCCCTCAAGAAGAAAAGCTTGATGTTGAAGTGTTTTGTTTTCCCATGAAATACAGGATTATGAGAAATTGCTATCGCAGATTGGTTGTCCACAAATACTTCAGTTCCCTTTGTCTGATTCATGTGCAGATCACCAAAAATTTTCCTCAACCACAATGCTTGATTCACTGCTGCTGTTGCAGTCACAAATTCTGCCTCTGCAGTGGATTGCGCCACAATGTCCTGCTTCTTTGAGCACCACGAAAACATTCCTGAGCCAAGACTGAAACAATATCCAGATGTGCTCTTCATGTCATCGGCAGATCCAGCCCAATCACTAACAGAATACCCAAGTAGTTTCAGATCTAATTTTTTCTGAAACTTGACACCATAATTGATGGTACCTTTGATGTATCTGACAACTCATTTTGCTGCTTTTAGATGCACCTCACTAGCACAATGCATGAACCTCGATAGAATGCTTACAACATACAAAATATCGGGTCTTGTAGCTGTGAGATACATCAAACAATCGACTAAGCCTCTGAAGTATGTTTCCTCCACTTTCTCTGCGCTCCATCATTCTTACTTAGTTTCTCTTTTTTTTCATAGGAGTACTCATCTCCTTGCAATCTTCCATGTTGAACTTCTTGAGAATTTCCTTAGCATATTTCTTCTGGCAAATGAAAACTTCATCCTGTCCCTGTTTGATTTCCATACCAAGAAAATAAGATATTAGACCAAGATCAGTCATTTCGAAGGCTTGCATCATTTCTTGCTTGAAATCCTCGATATGCCTTGTATTGCTTCCTATAACTAGTACATCATCCACATATATAGACACAACAAGAATATCAATGCCATGATGTTTAACATAAAGAGTAGATTTTCATAGACTCTATTCAAAGCCTAAGCCAAGTAAATGACCATTTATTCGACCATACCAGTCCCTTGGTGCATGTTTAAGTCCATAAAGTGCCTTTCTTAGCCTATAAACTTTGTCCTCCTTTCCTTTCTCCACAAAGCCTTCAGGTTGCCCAACATAAATTTTCTTCCTGAAGAAAGCCATTAAGGAATGCTGATTTGACATCCATCTGATACACTTTCCAACCCAATTGTGCAGCAAGAGCAAGAAGTAACTTGATAGTGTCAAGCCTAGCTACTGGTGCAACTATATCAAAATAATCCACACAAAAAATTTGAGCACACCCCTTAACTACAAGTCATGCTTTATGCTTGTTCACTGAACCATTTGCATTTAGCTTGGTTCTAAAGACCCATTTCAATCCAATTACCTTTCTGTCTTCAAGTTGATCAATAAGCTCCCAAGTCATGTTATTCTCAATCATAAACAACTCTTCTTTCATTGTAGCCAACCATTTTTCATCATTCTTGGCTTCATTGTACCCAGAAGGTTCACATACTGCTACATTGCATCTCTGATATATATCATCGAGTTGTCGAGTACCTTTGACTGGTAAATGATCCACCATTTCATCCTGCCGTGAGAGTGATATTTTCTTTTCAAAAAACTTGGTAGGAAACTTTTCTGCTTTGTCAGAAGTGTTAAGACAAATTTCTTCGAGTCTTCCCAACACCACTCTTCATTCTCTATAAAATACACATCTCTACTAAAGATTATATTTTCAGTTTGTGGTTGGAAGACCTTATATGCCTTTGAAACTGAACTATATCCAATAAAAATGCCTGGGACAGATTTATTTATCTAGTTTATCTCGTTTAACCTAAGGAATGTAGGAAAAATAGAGACAACCAAACACTTTAAGAAAATTTAACGATGGTTTAAATCCATACCAAGCTTCAAATGGAGTTCGGTCTTTCACTGCCTTTGTGGGAAGCCTATTTGAAGAAAAACTGATGTAGTTGCTGCCTCTGCCCAAAATTTCTTTGGCAAGTTCTTCTCGTGCAACATGCATCTGGTTATCTCCATAATGTATCTATTTCTTCTCTCGCTTACTCTATTTTGTTGTGGAGTATAGGGAGTAGTAAGCTGATGATGAATCCCTGCTTCCTCACATAACATGTCGAACTGGTAAGAAGTGTATTCCCTTCCATTATCTATTCTTACAGACTGAATTTTACAGTTAGCTTCATTTTCTACTTTTGCTTTGAACTTCCGAAGACATTAGCAACCTTTGACTTATGCTTGAGAAAATAAATCCAGCACATGCGGGTTAGATCATCTATAAAAATGATATAGTAAAGACTACCTTTTAGTGAAGGAGTCCTTTGAGGTGCTGCTATATCAATATAAATTAGTTGCAATTTGTTCGAGGCTCTCCAAGTTGTCTTTGGAAATGGAAGTCTGTTTTGTTTTCCATATTGACAAGCAAGACAATTTGAAGAATGTACTTCTAAAACAGGGAAGTCCTTAATTATTTTCATTTTTTGCATTTTAACCAACCCTTCATAGTGATAGTGTCCGAGCCTCTTGTGCCATACTTCTGCAACACTTTCTTTTGCTGAAAAAACAACATGCTCCTCCTCAAATGGATCTAATGAGAAACTTTTGCCTCTCATTCTTACTTTAAACATTTCTTGATCTGAAGCATCCTTGATCAAGCAGTGATTATCTTCAAAATTTAATTTGTAGCCTTTTTCCATCAATTGACCAACACTAAGCATGTTTTGATATATGTCAGGTACATAAAACACATCAGAATTTTTTTTAGTACCTGAATGACTTGGAATATCAATGTTTCCTTTCCCTCTTACAGGAAGATGGTCGCCATTACCTATTCTGACTTTAGTAATGGTCGTGGGCTTCAATTCCTTGAAGAGAGACATGTCATTTGTCATATGATTAGTGCATCCACTATCAATCGGCCAACACTCGCTTGATGAGCTACTTGAAAAACATGTAGCAACAAAGAGTTGATCTTCCTCCTCACCATCAACAATTTGAGCCTCTGCTTCTTGTTGCTGACCATTGTTCTTGCAAATGACAGCTTCATGCCCAAGTTGATTGCATTTACTACATCTAGCATCGGGCCTTCTCCAACATTTATATGGTGGATGACCTTTCTTGTTACAATACTTACAAGGAGGATAACTTTTCTTTGAGTGTTCACTTTTTCCTTTGGTAGTACTTGCTGAAATGCCTTCACCATTCTTCTTCTTTTTGTTTTTGCCTCCATCTTGAGGCTTGACAAATAATGCTCCCTCGGTATTTCCTTCTTCTCTCATGACTCTTCGTTGTTCTTGAGCCTGCAAAGCATTCAATAACTTTGCGAAGGTGATCTTGGACAGATCCTTAGTGTTTTCCAAAGTAGTTATGGTTGCTTCAAATCTTTCCGGCACAGTTACTAAAATCTTTTCAACAATACATGAATCATTAAACACGGAACCAAGCAATCTTACCCTGTTTGCTATGTTCAAGAGCCTTTCAGAGTAATCTTTGATGGTTTCAGTTTCTTTCATCTTTTGCATCTCGAAATCTCTTATAAGATTTAGCACTTACATACCTCTGATCCTTTCATCCCCTTCGTATTCTGCCTTGAGATAATCCAAGATGACTTTTGCTGACTTTAGAGACATAATTCGAGTGAAGATTGAAGAAGATATTGCTGAAAATAAACAGGCCTTTGCCTTTGATTTTCTGGTTTTCCTGTCTTTATGGTTTTTGATCTGGGACATAGTAGGATTGTTAGGCAACGGAGGAACTTCATAATCCTCTTCGACTACCTCCCACATATCCATGTCATCTAGATAAGTTTCCATCCTTACCGCCCAAATCTGATAGTTATCACCATTAAAAACAGGTGGTGCCATTACGGAAAAACTTGATTCTGTTTCCATGATTGATAAACTCGTCTTCTTGATTACAATCGTAACTTTGATGAAACACCCACAGATCCCTCAAGAAATAAATGCTCTGATACCAATTGTTAGTTTTCAGAGAAGGAAAAATATAACAATCTGATTTTATTTTGTTATTGAACAAGTAGGAACATTAGTTTGATAAACCAACAAAGAAAACATTTATGAAAGCAAACTACTAACTTCATTATAAAACAAATATTTATAGAATTTACAAGTAAACCAACTCCTAAGGATAAGATGAAAAAACTAACTAAGGATAAGATAGAAACTAATTAACTGCTAAACAGTAAATAACTACCCTACAATATAGAGAACTTGGACTGTTACAGTTCTTATGCATAATTCTAACAAATATAAATGCTAAATAGGCAAGAATAATATTAAAACATACTGTTCATGATCTGCTGCCTTGAATTATTAGCACACTAGCTAGCTCTAAATGAAAGAAGTGCCGATTAATTCACATGTTGACTATAAAATTCACGAAATTCACAACCTTATAGCAAGTAGGCAAAAACAAGTTAAAACTTGACAGTGAAAGAGTATTTTGACAATACTACTAACAGAAGCTACACCACCCAACATCTAGACACAAAAATAAAGTCAATAGGGAGAAAATACACCCTAAACATGCTCTCATTGCTTGATTCAAATAACTAAATGGTTATTAAGAAAAATAAATGTGAATCATCAAGGAACAAAAAATAATATAAGGGTACTACTGTTACAAAAGTTCTCTACTTTAAGAAGCACTACTAGTTTCTGTCTTTATGATTATTAAAGAACACAATGGACGAATTGACTAGTTTTTTCCATTTTTAATCAGATATTTTAAATTCAAACCATAGAAAAATCAACACTAGAACTAATATTTGAAAATGGACAGACATATGAATCTTACAGCTAAAAATTTCCCTTCTTTGTTCACATATTATTGCCATTGTTGACAAACTAACCTCACTCCGACACACCAGCCTTCCCAATTTTTGCTCTTATCATTAATCAAGTATAGATAAATAAAAAATAAGTAACATGAAACACATTTCATTTGATACAACAAAATGAGTTTAGAATTCAAGGATAAGAAACTTACCATTTGACTACCTCTCCTTGCATTGCTTTTGTTACCACCGGCATGTGAGACTTTATGTTTCTCTATTTTTTGTATTTTGTGCACTTTGTTTCTGTATTTCTCAAAAATTCAATTGAATTACAAGTAGTAGAAGGGAACAAGTTCTGAAAGCTACATATACCACTTTAACACAGCCAACACCAAAGGTGGATCTATGATTTAGAGTCTCTGGGTGCCAAGTAAATTCATCAATCAAATCAATTTAGGTGTTGAATCAAATTATTTGTCTTGCCGGTCTATATGACAAACCAAACAACAAAATATGAATAGTAATAAGATGACATTTATGTATTGTACATATATACTACAAATTCGCACCCCACATTTGACTGAGAGCATGACGTGAACAAAGTTAAAATTTTCAATGAATTATAAAAGCATCGAGTTGATAACTCAAATATAGATGAAAAAATAGCTGAATCAGAGCAATTGGGTGAGAGGTTAATATTTGGAGAAGAAGATGGACATCGTTTTCAATAAATTTTTCTTTTTAACTTATATCTTTAAATAAATATTAGTAACTAATAAAAAAGAAAAGAAAAGTCAAAGGTTATTAAATTAATTAGTAAACAATAATTATTTATTAAAACTTAATAATAAATCAATAATAGTTATAAACAAAAAAAAGATTTGTTAGTGACTATTGTTTTGTGCAATTTTTTTTAATAAAAAGGCAATCAATGGGATTTGATCCCGTAACCTCCACCAAGAAATGATGACCTGATTTGACGTTTCATGCACATCTCATCCAATTCTAGGTGTTCAACGATCGTAAATCAATATAAAACCCAAACAAATGAGTTAGGATCGAATTCCATAGGGAGCGGTATGTGTTTCAGATTCAATTAGGAAGTATGAATGTGGTCTAATCAGCCATAGGAATATAAATTATAGATTAAAAACATAATCAATTAAAGGGGTGACACGAATGTCAGATAGGGGTTTTTTGGTTTTAGTTATCAACTACAACAGTCACAAACACTAGGAATTAACAACAATGAGACGGGTTCTTGGGATGTGATCGACTGTAGGCAAATATAGACATATGGGTAATTACAACTATTAGTAAATGCTTAGATATTAGTGAGTAGGCTAGACTATAAGGGAGGTAATTTTCTCTCGAACAATTACCCCGAATCAAGTGATTTCTCTCGAACATCAACAACCATGCAAATTAAGAGCAGCCCACACCTTCATCCATTAACTTTTTTGAGCTAAATGTGTGGGGTTGGGTTTAGGATTTACTCTCTCGAGCTAAACCCATATCAACCCAATACCCACAAACCATCAATCAAAAACTTTAGTTCTAAAACCTCTCTCTCGATCAAGCCAAAAACACAAAAGTAGAACTGCATTTGCAATTACAATCCTTAAATTAAGCCACAATCAATGATTAAACTCACTTTTAAATAGCATTTAAACTAACAATTAGCAATACCCATAAGCTAAATCAACCTATAATCACATGATCACACCCCAAAAATTGAGGTTTTAGCTAGACATTATAAAAAGGTAAAAACAGTTACCAAATTGATTAACCATCAACTGGGTAAGAGTGATTTCATCTTTACAATGCTCCAATTTGATGAATCTCAAAGACGCACTTCCAATTTCTCAAAAGTGAACTTTTTCAATCCTTCAAAGCTAAAGAAATCTCGAGAGAAAATTGTCTAAAAAAATGTCTAAAGATTCAGATTCAAGAATAATAGATAAAAGATCCTCAACTAAATGTTCAAAAATGTATTTATAGTGATCGGAAATAAGCTACGAAAGCCCTTTCGGTGAAGTAAGTCGGGGACGTCGAACCACTCGGCGAGCCGCCCTTTGGTCCCTTACTTCGCCCTTTCGCCTTGGCATTCAACATCCTCAAGCTCTGTAACTTTGTGCGATCTATCTTGGTTTTGCGAAATCACTCGGCGATCCGCTGACTGCTCCTTTTCGTCGCCGACTTGTTTCTTTCCTTTAGAGCTTGGCACACTGGAGCTTTAGGCGGTCTGATGAGCCACTCGGCGACACGCCAAGTGCTCTTGGCGATCCTCAGGCTCGTCCATCTTCATTTCTTCAGCCTGTTTTGTTCCTTTTTGCCTGTTAGTGTCCTTGCTTTGTTCCTCAATCCATAATCCTGAAAATCAAGGATTTAACATTAGTTATTGGCACAAATTAAGCATTTGAGGACACTAAATCTATATAAATAAAGCCCTAAATGAGTCCAAATCTCAAACTCATCAACACCCCCAACTTAAACTTTTGCTTGTCCTCAAGTAAAACTCAAGCTCAGCAGTTCAAAAAGGATGTCTCAAACAGTGCTACAAAAGACTCAATCATGAATGCACACAACAAGACTGAACTTACTCATGCAAGGATCAAATGTGCACTCCAAGATTCGAGTTGTGACTTACCAATTATACAAAGATGCTCAAGTTCACAATACTTGCTTCAAATGCAAGTTCAAGCTCAAAAAAGGTACTCAAATCCCCTCAGAACAAAGATGATTCCATATTCACACATAATTCTTCAACAATTTATAGTTCTGGAATCACATACGGCTCTCACACTCATAAAGATGAACACATACATGACTTCACCCATAGGTTTGTCCTTATTTTCCAATCAACATCCATTTCAGCTCAGTCAAGATCAAAAATGTCTTTTCAACGCTTGTAACGGGGTTGAGTGTAAATGTATGGTCATTTAGGCTCAGTGGCTGCTACCCTTATGAAATGTGGTCTGAACATCACTTTCTTCCTTTTCTTCAACATTTTAATCATGCTCAAAATTCACCCCATTATTCAACTTCCAATGGATTACCGGACATCCCATTTCTTTTGCAACTTTCACAACTTTTTCATTATTTTTCTTTTGCTTTCTTTCTCTTTTTTTTTTATATGGATGGGTTCCATATTTATCCAAACTATGGATCAAAGGGAACTTTTTCACACTTCTTGCTTTACCTTCTCTTTTCACCACACCCTCAACTTAGGCTTTTAGCCTAAGTTGACTATTCAAACAAACCACACTTTATGAGAATTATGGGTGAATGGATAAAGAGGGGTCACAATTGCTCAAGTTTCTTCCAAGAAAAGGTTAAGACTCAAAGGAGGGTTCAAGCAAAGTTCACACGCCTCACAAGGTTGGCCACAAAAGAGGTATATTGTCAAATTGTTTCAATCTTCAAAACTATTGCCTAAGATCATTTCAAGAACTTGCATCACTTAGTCAACCGGACAAACAGGGTAAATTCTAGGTGTCATCACACAAGGTTCAAAGTAAACTCATCACACAAGGCATTGGAACCAATATCAAACGAGACTCCACACTTTCGCAAGTGTGCAATGCTCATCACAAGAGACTTATTTGGTAATTGGCTAGTCACAACGAGATGTAAAAAGTTCACACACTGTCTATCGAACTTCATTTGGCCTCATTGTAGTCGCATTCATTTTTGTTCGATTAAGAGCACTATTCAAGTCATCGGTATTGATCATAACCGATACTTAAATTTGCACAAGAACAACCACAATCAAACACACAAGAGGTGGCAAAATTTTCAGAATTGGTTAAAAACCATTTTCATTCAAAATCAAGGAGCTACAAGCTCAAACATCGACACGATAGAATCAAAACACAATTTTAAAACACAAAACCCAATATATATATACAAAATATAATCACAAGAGGTAGGCATGGAAATACCTCACCCCACCCACAAAAGAAAAGCAGTTGTCCTCAAATGCAACAAAAACAACCAAAATCAATAAAAGCAACAGAGAGAGAGGTAAAGAAAGATCCTGTCTACACAATTGCTCCATCTGTCGAGGCTTC